TAAGGTGATACAATTTATATAATTTGGAGGTAACTATCCTCCAAAAAGAGGAGATCAACTGTTCATCAAAGAGGTCTTATTTCCAACTTCATGTAAATTCCTGGTGAAAAGCATAAAATATTCCCAGAGAGTAGATTAATTATATTAACTCCAAATATACACTGATAATTTTCTCCCACTTCTACTCTCCACCCCAAATTATACCCAACTATCCAGCCCAGTATAGCTCATCAGAGATTAGACAATATGATTAAACGGCAACATGAACATATTTACCTAATAAATTTCCAACAACATAAAGACGCCCCAAACTTGCATATAATGCCATCACATTGTAAAATTCCCAGAAGAAATTGAAGTCCAAAGATTAAATTGCCTTCCAACTTAAAGTTCAAATAATTTAATGTGCAAAAGAATTAATGTCCTTAACTCTTCTTCCCAAGTTCTTATGCTACTTATTCCTTCCCATGGACTTAGTTTTCAGATATCTGGTATTCTGGGTTCTTTCCACCACTGATGGCTGGGGTTTTGTCATTGAAATAAGTATAATTTCCTTTGTTCTCCCACATTTACAGAATCCAAAGACATACGAAGAGTATCAAAGCATCTTCAGGACACTGATGAAATTAGAAAATAAGAAAGAACCCATGTGCATTGTTCTTGAAATCCAGAATTCAATGGAATGTATTTTTTTTCCTTTAGGGTGAGAGATGGAGTTAGAATGAAGAGAAGTGTGGAGAGGCATTTTGATTATTTTAAGCTCTTCCTTTGTTCCTCACCTACCAAAAGGATTTAATTTCAAATTACTATTTGGGGAATGTTAGACTGGATCTAAACTTCAAGTGGAAGGTAGTCAATGGTTTCCATAATCCTCATGTTTGTTCATTCCCAGAAAGCACCATTTTTCTTGACTGTTGCTAGGAAATAAATTTAGACCCCATTGCATTTACTATATATCATGGGGTGGAGGGAAATAGAATATCCCAACCCTGATTTCCATTAGAAAGGAAACTCTGACCCAGAATAATTTAGTTAAGCTTTGCCCACTTCCCACATTAATAAAATAAAGAACCTTTAAAAGCACATGTCAACTTCTTTTAGTTTCTGGCAGACCCTTCCAGACTAAGTAAGAAAAAAATCTTTATTTCACAGTGATAGGGGCTCAGTGTCACAAAGGGTAGGGCAGGTTCCTAGCTAAGTGTGCCAAATGAGTCTTTCCTTAACAAGGGTTCAAACTGTATTGATTCCAAAATATGACTTTGTTCTTCAGGAAGGTACTCACTCTAATGGACCAACTAGCAAACAAACCAATGGAGCAATGACTCTCTTGGGTAGACACGATGAAAAGGAAACTGGAATTGACAAAGTTGAGTTCACTGTGCCCACAAAATGGAAATTCATAATGTCCTGTTCTCACTCCAGTCCATGGTCCCCACCATCCAGGAGGCTGAAACTAATCACACTGTAAAACTCAGACTTGGAACACAGCACACTGGGATAGGAAAATAACTAAAGGAGGTATTACCTCCTTTAGAAATAATTCAGAAATAATTAAAGAAGAGGGGTATCCTAGAGGTGGAGTCTCCCCATGCTCAAACTCTGCCTAGTCCTGACACTTAGGGGAGTCTGTTTGGTAAATAGTAGCCCATGAAAGATATTCATGTTCTAATCCCCGTAAATTACCAGAAAATTACCTAATGTGACAAAAGGACCTTTGGATCCCATAAAGAAAAGTGAAGGATATGAATTTAATGGAAAAAGCTATCACAGGAGGAGAACGGAATCATCAGAATTCAAGCTGATGAATTCCTAACCCCAGGAGGACCTAAATCCTCCTAGACCTAAAGAGCATAAAGCATCTGAGTTTGAGTTTCCTCATGAACAAAGACAAGAATTCCAAGACAAATCATTAAAAAGAGATAAAAACATATCAGGAAAGTTAGGAACTGAGACGAGCGAGACCAGTAAGCACTGTAACTTAACAGGCAAGCTCCTAGATATAGTATAAGACAGGTCTTTAGGTTATCCAACCCAAGTCAAAAACTTCACATCTCCCCAAAATGAAGATGGAGGAATGGTCCAAAGTGGAGCGTAGGGGCCTACATGAAGTGAAGAGGACATTAAGGGGTGGGATAGCCCAGATTGGGGAATCAGAGCCCATCCTGGCCAACTCCAGATCTGGACATTCTGGAATAAGAGTCTGAGCCTTGGCAGAGAGAGGACCAGAGGAGGGACAAGTGAAGCATTAAAATAAACTGATAATAGTAACACGTGTGTTTCCATGGAATAAAAGAAGAAATCATACATATCTGAACAAATGAAGAAATTGCAAATTTGAAGAGGAACGGATTTCCAAAATTTCAAAGTAACTTTACATAAACTGTTTACTTATTAGGAGGAAAGAAGAAAGTGAAACTTCACAAGGAGATGCTTCACAGACACATTCGTGAAGTGTTCAAAATGCAAATTATCAGTCATGTGCAAATGGTGACTGAGCTACCTGAAAGGGTGCAGTTAAAAGACAAACACAGCAGCGCTTCTGTGTTACTTTTACAGAAGATCAGTAATTGGATTTTAATGATGGAGAAACCTCTCAATGACCCAAATCAAGAGACATTCTACAAAATAACTGCTTCTAATCTTCCAAAGAGGCAAGGCCATAAAAGTCTAGCTGAGTAACTATCTAAAGTTTATAGCAAAAATATGATAGGTAAATGAAGGGAAATTCTGGATGTAATTTATTGCTATAAAATACCTTTATAGGGACACTTGGCAAAACTTGAATGTAGCGTGAGGATTACATGGTTGCAATGTGTCATCGCTAATTTTCCAATGTGAGTGGTTATATTGCAGTTTGAAGAAGAGTGTTATTGTTTCTGGGAACTACAAATTGTTCAGAGGTGATAAGGTATTACTAGGTAAGAAACATACTCAGGAAAAGAACGGTCCCTTTGCTGTACTCTCATTTTTTATGTTTGTGTTTGCTTTAAATTTAAAGCCAAGAAAATGCAAAAGCAACTGTTGTAAGCAATGGAATTATCTTCCAGAACAGGCCCAATTCACAAGTACTGCTCAGGCAATCATTTCCCCACCCCAAGAAAAGACTATGAAGTATGCTCAGTTATTTAATATCCAGTGTTTATTGTATAATTTTCTACTATTGCAAAAAAAGTCATTTCATAATTAGCTCTTCTTAATAAAAAAACAACAGTTATTTCACAGAAATTTTATACTTGAATAACTCACTTTGGAATATCCAGGGCTGATGATTAGAATGCTTCTGGGCCTAGCCTGGACAGCCCAGCCTTGGGCCAGTGAAGCTATCCTCCCCCACCCTGACCCACACACAGGAAGTTGCCGACAACTTAGGGAGCACTCTGTAAAGCAAGTCAGCCTGTCCAAGTCAGCTGATAACTGAAAACACCATACTTGATTCAAATTACCAATTCAGTACTATACTGTACACATCCAGCATTATACATGCTTAAAATAATGTAAGTGTGTATAATGACACATCAGGGTTCACTTTTAATGTAAACTATAAAGACAACTACAAATTTTAAAACTGCTAAATAAGCCCATTTTACCTAAAGTTTAAAAAGTTGCTATATACACAGGCAACTCCAAAGGTGTGAGATATGCAGACAGGACAAGAAGTAGAAAAAAAAATATTCCAGGTAGGAATAATCATGTGGCCATGTTACATGCATGTAAGTTTTCCAAACAAATCCTACTTGAAGGAAGAATATCTTGGAGGGCCAGGGCCATTTTCCAGCTTTATGGTCTGGAGGAAAGAGCATCGTGCTGATTCTCCTTGACATATCTGTGCTTCTTACAGATCCCGAAGGTATAAATGCAGGCAGATCCATGGGGTCCCCAGTGGGACTTCTGATTGTGGGGGCAGGAGTACTCAGTTGCCTCTGGCTAAGAGGAATCTCTTAGTCCATGGAAGACCACAGCAATCTAGATGGCTGCTCCGGGTAGGCTGCATGCATGTAGTTTTACAGCTTTAACTCTACCCCCAGAACAATGCTGGACCATGAAAGATGATTTTGTTTGTTTGCTTGCAATTTTAACATGAATCACAACAGCAGCCTAACTTTTGATGAACAGCACCATGCAAACATACAAAATGGCAAAACAGAGGATGCTAAAATGAGGTTGCTACTGATGTGGGCGCTTTTTCCCATCACTAATGTGTCAACACAGTAAGGCATTTTAACTGAGTTAGGCAAGTTAGATGTCTTTCTGGAGCAGAAGTAAGCATACATACTGCTGAGCAGCAGAGGGGAATGTGGGTATGCTCCCTACTCAGCACATCTGTCAAATAGACATGCAGAAGTATTTTAAGGGAAGAATGAAGCATCTAAACTCTAGATGGAATGGATGACTGGGCTTCAGAAATTGGAGAAGAAAGGGCTGTGTACTAACAAATATATCCTTATACTTGTTTTATGTTAACACCTCAGAAATAAAATAGCTGCAGTTTGGAAGCGTCTCCCTCCCCTCTACTGCCTGATTGAAATAGGCATACTCATCCTATAAGAAGAGGTAGTCTGGTAGTGAAATGCAGACAGATGCTGGCCTTTGACTGCCCATTTGCTTTGCAGATTTGGTCTCCTTGGCATCTTTTTAAAAAAAAAATGGTAGATGTGTTTGTTTTTCTGGCTGGTGCATTGCTAGAAGCAGATGTGAAGACAAGGATTCCGTCCCAGTGAGGTCTATGTGTTGAGCACACACGAGCTGGGCTTTCTCTAAAGCCAGATGCAAACGGGTGTTTGTTTGAGAGAGCTCAATAGTACTGAGGCAATGTGTTAAAATCCCTATTGACAGATACAGTCACTGGTCCAAAGTGAACAAAACACCAGCAGAAGGTATGTGTAGTCGAATCAAGTCAGGTTCTCCACAGTCTGGGAAATGAGGAAGGCTCATACTTCAAGTGGGGGTGGGACTGCAAACTGGCCAATGTGGTTCATGTGTGTGTGCCAGAGAATATCAAGTTACGGGTCACACCTGTAATAAAAAATTAGCAGAAACTCTTTAAAAACTCTCTAAGTGCCAACTCCCTTCTACAAGCTTGCCCCTTTCCTCTACCCCTTGTGAATAGGCACACACACCATCCAAACTCCTCTGGTGCTTTGAGACCAGCTCTACACTTTGAAGTTTTACCCAGTCACTCTCCACTTTTCTAACAGACATCGCCTGAATTCCAGACTAGCACGTGATCCAGCCTTCTGGGCAACCTGGCATCTCTTCCAATGACTTTACAAACTTAAAACAAAGTCTGTCTTAGTTATCCCTCCCTCACCTGAGACCCATTCATCAGTATGGTGCTATTCATATGACAAGTTTGATTTAGATGGATTATTCATTCATTTATTTAATAAATATCTACTAAACAACTGCAGTGTGCTAAGCTTGTGAAGTCATCTAACTGGGGATATAGCCATAGAAATTTTTGAAGCTGCCTTTACAGAGGTTATGAATCATACTCACCTTGAAACTGTGTGCATAATGCTTTCAGAATACAAAAGAAAAGCCTGACAACCTTCAGGAAGCTTACACTGCTTACATAACCATTTCCACAGCTATTTACATTTAATTGCAAGGCCTATGCTCTGTTGATGGGTAGAGTATAAAACTGACTATTTCTCCTTTCAGTCTCAGCTGGAGCAGACACTTCAGTACATGTCTGATACTGTAGAGCAAGAGTTCAGCTTTGCATTTGTCTGCTTTTGTAGCCTGAAGCCTTGAGAGCTTCATCAAGGAGCACTTGGCAGAGCTCAGGGAAAAGGGAGTGTTATTGTCCCCTGCAAGTAGCCCTAAGCCAGTGGGTAAAAGTCACAGAGTGGGGCCTCCCTGGTGGTTTAGCAGGTTAAAGCACAGCACTAAGAAGCTAAAGCCACTTCAGCATGAGTTTGATCCCCGCCTGCTCCGGAGGTGACCCATATGGCGTGGCAAACCTTTCCTGACCCGCCCTCTACTCCCCTCAGAAGTGTACTTCATCAATCTGCCTGTTCTGCTTCCCACTCTGTCTCTGGTGAAGCCTCTCATCGCCCCTGCACCTCTGGCCTGTACCCCAGTTCTGTATGCACAAATAAATAAATATTTTATAAAAAAAAAAGTCACAGAGCATCCTACAGAAGAACAATTCTAGAAGACACCTGTCCCTTCTCAGAGATCTTATAGCCTCTAGCTAAGACTCTACTAATGCAGTCTCCACTTGGTTTTCCCCCTAGTAATGCGATCTTTATTTGTTTTTCTTCCTGGCCTGCTCCCTCACCTCATCTCCCTAGGTTCCCTTCTTTACACCAAGTCTCTGTAAGCAAACCAGGGTTTGCTTTCAGGGATCCAAACTAAGGCAGAGCACATTATTATGAGCACAGAGAGTGAAAGAAAAAAATATTTCTTTCAGTAACAAAATAGAGAAACACAAGCTCTTTGCTAGTGGCAAAGCTATGGTATTACCTCTCTGGAGGAATCTGAGGAGACATTGATACCCTGGGTATCACTTTCTCTAAAAAAAAAAAAGAGGAGAACAACTAAAGGGTATTTATAATAGTTCCTCCCAGCTGTAACACCATGAGAACAGGTGCTATATATGTCCCTTTCAGATAGTCCTTCAGTAGTGGCAAAAATGCAGTAGGGTGTCTCACTGAATGTCTCACATCATTGCTATCTCAAAGGCAAGTGACTTATGGATTTTCCAAATGGATCTTCAAAAGTTTGGAATGCTCCTCAACTTGATGACACTAACATTGGCAACATTCTCAATAGAAAAGATCAAAGGCCTTCCTAACTACCCTCTGTAACTGGAACTCCATTCCTGTTATCTGAACTTGAGCAGTCTTTAAATCAAACTAGCAATATTGTCACCAATTTCTTGCTGCCCCTCCACCCCGTAACTCCAGATCTTTCTTCCAAAAAGATCTTCACTTTAAAACATCCACATATCTATGTGACTTCCACAGTGCTTCACTCAGCAATTTGCACTCAATTGCTATTCAAAAAAAAAATATCTTCAGTATTCAATAAGTACTCATCAGAGGACAATGAACTTTTTAACAAAGAAATCTTAAATTCTTCCCAGTTTTTGAAATATCATGTGTAAAATTGCCTTAAGGCAACAGTGGAATATGAACTTTTTGTCTGTTTATTTTTGACAGTAGTTTTCAAAACTATTGTTTGTTTTTCAACTAAGGAAAGTATATATTTGTTAAAGTGAAAAATTCAGATTCACAGAAAATATAAAAATTAGACACTAGAAACCGATTAGTCTCTCTTTAAAATCTAACCATAAAATCCCATGCCCTTCCCTGCCCTTGCCCCAAATGGGACAGTACCTGTCCCTCCAGGTGTTTTAGCAGTGGGCATTGCTGCCATGAACATGTATTCACTATTAGGATCATGCACACTGGATCGATGTTTCTGGAAAAAAGTCAAAAGTGGAGAAACATGGTTCATCATCAGCTCTTTCCCATCCTCACCCCCACCTGGGTTGGTCTGTTATCATAGTGTTTACAAAACACTCTCTCTTCTTTTATTAAAGTGGTATTTCACAGAATGATTAGGATGTGACTTAGGGTCCTGACTTTATGTGAAGTAGGAGAACAATAGGAAAGGGTTGTTGTTGTTGTTTTAAAAAAGAGAGTTTTCTGCTCAACTTTCTTATTTTTGCCTTTCTTCTTTCTTCTCTGGTGGAATTGGATTGTAAGTCCTATCTCATTCTCATCAGTCTTTATCTCTCTTTTCAAGTTCCTTTCTGGGACAAATTAACACACTGGCCCATGGTTACATGATGGGTATACGTTAGTATTAGCATATGGAGAATGCTCTTTGACTAAGAACCAGAGGTATACCCGGCACAGAAGTTTTTGTTATTAGTGTGGTTGTTTTATCTGTTTTGCACAGCTTATTAGCAGTTTTCTATAAAAAGAAGGAGTCATCATACCATGAAATGAAGTTGACCAATTCCTTCCCAGCTACCACTAGCACCTTATAAGACTGATTTGTTTGAACGGGGTTGGGGTGGGGAGTTGGGGGGAGGGAAGTGCATAGGACTATGGTGATGGCACATGGGTGACTCAGTGATGGGAAACCCACGGGGATTGCAATTGAGATGAAAAAAAAATATATACAAAATGATGTAAAAATAAACTATTATATTAAAAAAAAAAAAAGACTGTTTGACCAAATGAGTATAACATTGCTCTGACTCCAAAACTAGAATCAAATTCACAGCTTATGTTTAATCTTTTTTTTTCTTTTTTCTTGGGCATGATTTCCTTGTCTTTTTAGAATAACAATAACATCTGTCTGCAAACCATCAAATTATTTTTAGAATGGAGGAGCAATAAAATAAGTATCCTCCAGTTCCAAGTTAGCAGTTTAATTAACAGGTATATCTTCAGAAGAAATTGTCTATCTGTTGATCAAATTACTCTGTCAAGAGCAAAATGTACTTTGATGAGTAAATAACCATGGATGTTCCCAGTAAAGCATAAGTAAGAAAAGACAAACGTCACTCACCTTTTTTGTCAGCAAACAAATAACTACACATGCAAAAATGTAGATGAGGATAAAACCAGTACATCCAATGGGTAACCAGAATTTCAGTTGGCAGCAAAATTGAGATTCTGAATTGAATAAAAGGGTACGTTAAGGGAAAACTGAGAAAAAAGTCTCCTTTCAGTACTGAATCACAAATTAATTGAACACATTTAAGAGTGACTTAATCAAGTGAAATGTTTCTTTATTACAATCATGAAATTCAGTAAATAGTAATAAAGAACATCAATTTATCATAACAAATTTCCAAAATCTAAAAATCTAAATATTCTACTCATATATGTTTACACATGTGGTTAATATAAAGTCCTCTTCTGACTATATTTTTGCAAGAGAGTAGAAAAGTAATTGCAGAAAACTATTATTTTTCAATCAATCCACTTCTTCCTATAAGCCCTCCACAAAACAAAAACCTTAAATCTCAAGAAAGTAAAAGTAACAGCTATTAGCCATAGGTTGGAGACTAATCATTTTCCCTGATTTTTAAAGGCAGGACCTATCATTAACTCCACAGTTTAGATTATTAAATTGCACATTATTACTTAATACTCGTTATTACAATTAATAATAATGAATCATCACTTGCATATTTCATTATAAACCATTGACATCAATTGCACATAAAAAAACTCTTAACGCAAAAGAAATTTCTTTAATTATTTCAGAGCAAGAAAAGTCAAAATGCCTATATGTTCCTAAATTTGGAAGATGAAAAACAATATCTTACCATAAATATACAAATATTCTTTGCTTAGATTTCTCATTTGGAAAGGAGGAGGATCAAAAATCATCAGGCGGCACTGGTAATAGCTGGCATAGGTACTGTCCAAGTTATGCAGAAAGAAGGAGACACTATTGTTGGATAACTGAGATTTACACAATGTCACGTTCTTTGGGGACACTGCATTTTCCCTTCCGTCTGTTTTAGTGAGCTCACAGAGTACTTGGTCCCCTTTCAGCAACTGCATCTTAAATTGGCAGACAGTTCCAGAGTATCTGCATGAAATCTGTAAGCCTCCATTGTGAATGGTAAACATCTCCGACAGGACAGAATCATTGATTTCTCCTGAATAAAAGAAATAAAATAAAGCAAAACTGACTTTTTTGGAATATGCTGCCTTAATATTACATTTGGACAAAAAAGTAGTCTTTTCTCATCATAAAATCACTTCCTGTGTGCAAAAAAGAACTTCAAAAGCAAAAGAAAGAATTAACAAAAGGTAAAACTTTGCCTGAACTTGCTTGTCATGTATGACGATATAGTATGTACTATATTAAATAATATATTTGCATAGTAAGATTCAAACAGGTAGGCTTCCTGTCCTTTGGTGTATCTCATATTGAAGACAGGTAGAAAATGAATAAATATGTAATAGAGCACCATAATTTATGCTAGGATGGGGTGCTATTCAAATAAATGTAGGGTTGGGTTCTAATTTTGATTGGAAAATCAGAAAATTCCACTTTGTGGACATGAATTTTAAAATTGAAAATGAAGGAAAAGTAGCAGTTAGCCAAACAAGGAGAGATTGGGTAGCAAGGGGAATGTGGTTTCAGGAAAATAATAATTATTTGAAGAACAAAATTCTTTCAACTAAAAATGAATACTTACACATAAATATAAAACTATAACCTCTTGCTAGAGAATTAAAGGAGATGAATCATTTCAAATGACAGAAATGTGTTCTCTCCAAGCCTCATCCATTGAGAACTGAATCAAGATCTGATGATAAAGTTAACAAAAATTTAGGACCCTATTTTTTTTACATCCTCTCAATGAATGTTAAGTGTACAGGAAGCCTACATTCTGTTGTGAGTCACATAAGGATACAGCAGGAAGAAACTGAATAGTTTTAATCTGGTTGCAGTTCTGAGATACTAGATTATAAACTCAAACTAGCTGTTACTTTTATTTTATCTTTCTTTTTCTTAATTTGACAAAGTTTTATTCTGAATTTTTTTTGTGAAAAAATACTAACATAAATGTCAGTTTTTCTGTTTGGAGTTTCCTCAAACTGCTTAACATGGAGCTTCCCTACGACCCAGCAATCCCACTCCTAGGTATCTACCCAAAAGACACAAAAACACTGATTGAAAAATATACCTGTACCCCCATGTTTATTGCTGCTTTATTTACAATTGGAAAAACAGCCCAAATGCCCAAAAGTAGATGACTGGATAAAAAAGATGTGGTACATATATACAATGGAATATTACTCAGCAACCAAAAAAGAGAAACACATGTCTTTAGCAGCAACTTAAATGGAGCTGAAAAAGATCATGCTTTGTGAGATAAGCCAGAAAGAGAAAGAAAAATACCGGATGGTTTCACTCATAGCAGGAGTATAAATTTTTGTTAACGTTATCATCAGATCTTGATTCAGTTCTCAATGGATGAGGCTTGGAGAGAACACATTTCTGTCATTTGAAAATACCGGAAAAATACTGGGTGGTTTCACTCATAGCAGGAGAAAATAACAAAAATAATGAACAACCATATACTAGAGACATTTTGCGGGGATGGAGTGGGGAATGGGATCAAAAATGGGGGGATAGGGAGGGAAATGCACGGGATTATGGTGATGGCACACGGATGCCTTGGTGATGGGAAACCCGTGGGGATTACAATTGAGATGGAAAAAAATAATGTACAAAATGATGTAAAAATAAACTTTTGTAAAATAAAAAAAAGTCAGTTTTTAAGTTTTGAAATCTTTATTCTTGCAAATCTACATAGAGTAGAAAGATTTTTTTAGGGGAAAAAATGACCTAGTTCTCCAGTGAAATATAAATTCCATTTATGTTGTTCAAATAATTAAAGGAAAGTCCTTGAAAATTAAAAACAAAATTCCATATGACCCAGTTATTCCTATTTGGGGTTTTTACTCAAAATACACAAAAACACTAGTTCAAGGATATATACTCCCCCTCCAACCTCCCCACCGTGTGTATGGCACCATCATTCATGAGAGCCAGCAGCTGGAATAACCTATGTGCCCATCAACTGATGATTGGATAAAGAAAAATGTGGTATAGATACACAAGGGAATTATGTATTGTGTACAGTTATTTTTTAAAAAGACAAAATATTTCCATTTCAACAACATGGATGTACTAGAAGTTATCATGTTTAGTGAACTAAGACAGATGGAGCAAGGTAAACACCATTTTATTTCACTCATATGTGGTAAATAGAGAAAACAAACAGATGAAATTCTAAATAAAATAAAAATTAAAATTAAGATTATAAGACCAATTAGTGGTTATCAAAAAGGAAGAATTAATAGGAGTGGGTCAATCAGATAAAAGGTAGATGTGATAAAATTTTTAGTGGTAAACTTAATTTAGTATATACACATGTTGATTTTTGATAATGTACACCTGAGCTATAGGCATCATTGCAAGATTACCTCAACTAAAAAAAAAAAAAAAAACCATTTGTATATTTTTATTCTTTAGCTTCTAGTATATAGTTGTTTTATATAGCAGGCACACTTTATATTCTCTTATTATCACAATCATTCTACATTTAAGTCATCATAGCTGTCCTCTCAAATGACTTTATAATGTTACTCCATCTGAAATTGTTAAGGTGTTTCACTAATGCTGGACACTGGGATTAATTTATTTTAAAGATTTATTTATGCATACAGAACTGGGGTTCAGGCCAGAGGTAGCGGGGCCATGAGAGGATTCACCAGAAACAGAGTGTGGAGCAGAACAGGCTGACTGACGAAGCACAGCTGAGGGGAGCAGCTGGCAGGTCAGGGGAGGTCTGCAGTTCCATGCGAGTCACCTCCAGGTTGGGGATGCAACTCATGCTGAAGTGGCTTTAGCTTCTGAGTGCTGTGTGTTTTAACCAGCTGCCCCACCAGTGAGGGCCTTGGGATTAACTGTTGTCATTCACTTTATTTAAGTATTAAAACATTTGGTCAAAGTGATCATATTATCAGAAACACTTAAGTGTTGCCTGATTATTTTATGAAAAAATGACTCCAATTTAAAGTAGGACAAGTATCATGCAGGAGGACTTACTTGACACAACTCTGCTTGCACTAGTTTATCACATTTACTTATTTTTCTTAGTTCTCTCAGCTTTTATAAATATGCCTAGGGGATAGATTTTATTTTTTAAAAAGATTTATTGATTTATGCATACAAGAGTTGGGGTACAGGCCAGAGATTTGGGAGTGGATGAGGGGATTCACCAGAGACAGAGTGAGAGCAGAATAGGCAGATGGGTTGAAATACTCTGTTGAGGGGAGCAGCTGTCCATACAGGAGAGGTCTGCTGAGCCATGTGGGTCAGCTTTCTGCCTGGAGATGGAATAGTATTGCAACTGAACTCATGCTGCAGTGACTGCTGATAGCTTCCTAGTACTGAGACTTAACACCTTGTTGTACCACCAGGGAGGCCCCCAGGAATAGATTTTTAATACACAGATCTTCTAGTTTCCAATTACTGCAGTCCAGATTAATCACACTGATTTCCACACCAAAATTGCTGAACAAAATATCTTAAAATATTATTTAAATGATTAAAGAATTGACAAAAAGAGGAGAAATACTAGGATAAATGTGATGAACCACAATCCAGAGATATGAAAAGCCTGGAAGGTATTTTTACCTTGATAACTGTTCTAAACGCCATCTTTTGTTTACAAAAATCTGCAAAATGAGTCTACAAAATGAAAAACTATAAAAGAAATATTCAGAAAAAATTTCATAAGTTAGATCCATGAAGTATAATGAAAACAAGCAGTAAAACAAACCTCAAGCAAATTAAAGTTTACAATGTTTAAGCAAATGAAAATGAATGTGTGATAATTGCAGAACTAAAGAACTTTAATAAAAAAAAAAACTAATTTTGAAAAATACCATCTACAACTGGCCAAAAAAATCAAAACCCAAAACAAGAAACCTACATTGAGATGAAAAATTCAATGGGTAGGTTGAAAACCTGTTTGATTGAATAATAATAAAAATAAAAATAAAAAGAGTTAGTGAACTGGAAATTTCTTAGAAAAAATATTCAACCTGCAGTCATAATACCAACAATTCATGGGCAGATTTTAAAAAATATGCATATCTAGATCTATCACTGTGAGAATTCCTTAAGTCAGAGAAAAGAAAGTGATTACCCTCAAAGAAACAACTACCAGACTGAATAGTAATATCTCAAATTCAACAATAAAAAAATTGATATAATGAAATTATATCTTTAACGTGCTGAGAGAAATTCAACCTAGTATATTGTCTTGGAGGATAGTAAAGGTATATGTATCTTGACGCTTTGATAAGTGAAGGATGTCTGCTGTAATTTCTGACATAATTAAGAGTAAAACAAAAAATACAATTCTAAATGAATACCACCAATTTTAGTATAATGGCTTCATACAAATGGGAAGAAAAGTTGGAATTATAAAGGAAAACACAACGTAGAAAGGCTTCAGTGTCTCACAGTATTTAATTCTTGACCTGTGGGGATTGTGTAAATGAGATAGCATGCTTTATAATTATTCATTAAACCATATACTTATGGTTATTTACTCTTCTGTGTAGATGTTTTGTTCCAGAGTAAAACATTTTAAAAGTATATGGAAAGAGGGTCCTCCCTGGTGGCACAGAGAGTTAAAGCACAGCACTGCAAAGCTGTGTCCCTTCATCTAGTCACTTGGGTGAGAGTTCAATCTCCCCACCCCCAGGTGACCCACCTGGCACAGCAGACCTCTCCTGACCCGCCCGCTGCTCCGCTCAGCAGTATACTTTGTCGATCTACCTATTCTGCTCCCCACACTGTCGCTGGTGAATCCTCTCACCGCCCCTGCACCTCTGGCCTGTACCCCAGTTCTGTATGCATAAATAAAAAAATCTTTAAAAAATAAGTATATGGAAAGAAAATACTATTTGTTTCATGTTTAAAATAGAGGGAATAGGCAGCTCTTCTGCCCTCCTGTGACTATGCAGGTGTCTGTCTTTTTTTTCTTTTCCTAATAAACCTGTCCTTTTAAAATGTAAAATATAAAATAAAATAAAAA